TTTCTCTGTGTTTACTTCTAGACTAACCTCCTTTTTTTTATTGCTAGTGGGGTGGGACTAAGTCCCTTGTACTGCGGTCACTTCTAGCCTATTGTACCAGCCCCACATAATAGGTGAGGGTGATTGTGGAGCAAGTGGTGGAATGAAGATTGGCAGGGGAAACCGAAGTACTCGGAGAAAACCTGCCCAAGCGCCACTTTGTCCATCACAAATCCCACTTGACCAGACCCGGGATCGAACCCGGGCCACCACGTTGGGAAGCCAGCGACTAACCGCTTGAGCTATGGCCCGGCCGACCAACCTTCTTACTAGCATCAATTGAGGTTTGTGTGTTTCTCTTTATGGAATCTATATTATCACCCAGTAGATTCACATGATCATCATAGACCAACAGCTGCCCCATTTAATTTCAGTCCCACCTGGTTTTCCTGGACCTACCCAATGGCATATTCTAAAGCAAAGTTGAAAAGGAGTGGCGATAAAGCATCTCCTTGTTGGTAAACCATTCTGGATAGGAAAACTATCAGACAAATATTTACCGATATGAGGTTTCTATGTGTTTCATATAAACGTATTATAACTAGCCTAACTAGTTTCATGGGTATCCCAAACTCATGAGAATATTATACAATACTTTCCTCCTAACTGAACATAGGCTTTCTTGAAGTTTAAGAATACTGTCTCATTTTAATCACATTTTTTTCTGCAGTATCTTACAATGCAAAGAAATCTGATCAGTAGTTGTTCTGTTACGTCGAAACCCTCAATGATGTCTCATGTTGTCAGTACTCTTAATTTCACTTTTATTTAAGTTAAAATTATCGATTCAAATACTGAAGTAGTCCCTATGCATTCCTTGTGAAATATCGGAGTGATATGAAGTCTGAAATTCATGTAGGTAATGTTTAATTCGTATCCTACCTCACAGATGGCACTGGACAGCTTCCGTGCTGTGATTAGTCAGCTGGTGCAGTTGTGGGAAATAACCGCTGTCCGTTCTGTGAATAATGTAAAACTAACTAACTGACTAGCTCCATGGAGCTGAGTCCTTTATGACAAGTCACCAGTCGCTCAGCTTCTCAAGAATTCACAAAATTGTAGAAAGCCAAAGATTCATTACCAAGTTCACAAGAGTCCTCCTCTGGCCCCTATGTTGAGGCAGATCAATCCAGTCCACACCACCCCATCCCCTCTAAGATTCATTTTAATATTATCCTCCCACCTACCTCTAGTCCTTCCTAGTAGTCTCTTTCCTTCTGATTTTTCCACCAAATTCATTTATGCGTTCCTCTGCTTTCCAATTCGTGCTACATGCACTTCCCATTCCATTCTCCTTGATTCCTTATTGTAATTATACTTGGCGAGGGGTACAAGATATGAATCTCTTCATTATATACACACACGGACACTCTGTGAATAAAAAGTGAGACTTCTGTAAAATTAGAACAGATGATTACGAATTAAACACTGTACTTTAAAGACTGGAATATATTGCCACAAAATGGCGAAATCTAAACGGAGACGCGAATACTGAAAGTAGATTTCTGTTCTCGTGGGAGTTCCATATGTTCCAATCGCCACCTTGGGGATTCGTTCTTAAACGAACCTTTTGTCTGCGGCCTTGGCAGACTTACCCGCGTGTGAATGGGCATATGTCCAGGGTTCATATATAGCCCTTCGCAAATACGCGCAGAATTTGGCTAACCTGCGAGTGCAGACATACTCGTAAAGTCGTGTTTGCCAGTTTTCCTTTTTAGGACACGTCAGACACTTTAACTCTGTGTTTGTCGCCATTCGTATATATGTTTTCTCTATAAATATATTTCTATGGGACAGAGTCCTTTAGAAGCTAACAACCGCTCAGTTGGTCAAGAGTATTCTCCCATTTTTCGAAACCTAACAGAGCATTATCATATTCAAAATACTCACCTCTGGATCATTTCTCCGGACAAGGTAAGATAGCCACGTTCTCATATTTTAATATTGTCACGATTTAGAGGCTTGTTCTAACTTATAAGACAGTCTTTGGGTTGGATGATTGGATTTATTGAGACCTTCTTCACACAACTCGGAACTAGAGGCAACACAGCGCTATCGCTGAACTACGCACTTTACAGTTCACCGTTACACACACACTAGGGTACTTAGGCTTATCTTGTCGTATCCTGGCAACGGATTTATAATAGTCTCACTGTGAATTAAAAATGTAGGGTAAAGTTGCCTCTATATTTAACTAAGTAAACACTACGCCATAAAGACGTATAGGGGAGTCTATATATAGACCTACGTTTTCTTGACCTCGGCACTAATTGGAGGTGAGTGTTCAGCTTCACGCCCCGTCCGCTTTACCCCCGGGGAAAGAGTCCTTTCTTGCCATTATTCTGCAACTGCCAACTCCGAAGACTCGACTCAATTCAATTCCTCTGCTTCAAGGCAGGCTGGCGTCTCGAAATTCGACTCAGTTCTTTTGAACTGAATTCTTGTTTATAACCATTTTTCACGAAACCCGCAGGAAATACAGCGTGTTTACAGCGCCATTGCACAGCAGTGGAAGTTATTTGAGTGTTGCTTGCACATTCGTTGACGCGGGAATGTGTTTACCGAGTCGTTGTCTAGCAATGAACATCTTGTCTGACTTTACTATTCCAGATTTTGGGCGTCATGTCACAATATTATGATCTCATTTACTTCAAGTAAAGGTCTGTACGCATTTCTCATCTTTTCAGTGCGTGCATCATGACCCGCCCATCTTATCCAACACAGTGTGCTCAAGCTTTAGTTGGTTTCTGTTTCTGTTAGGATTTCAAAATATGTAATTCTCACTTTCGGCATTGGCAGTTTACGTCGTGCAAATGTATATTTACATCCTCTGACGTGTTAGGTTATGTGAAGACAGATTGCGCTATGTTGACATTACGTTCGTTAGGCTGTGTTATGTCAGGTAGGATTATGTTAGGTTTGGCTAAGTTAGTTTATATATGATTAGTTTACCTTAGGAGAGAATACAAAGATTAAGTTGCCTTACAGATGTATGCATATGTACAGGGTGTCCGGATGAAAGGTATCCAAAATAGAAAATGTATATCTCGGAAACTAATTGTCATACACGTGTCCGGTTTATGTCAATGGAAAGGAAAACTGAAAGTTTTTTTTTTTATGCCCGGCTTACGTGCAAGCGCCGCCACATTTCTGCCATCATGTTAGGACAGATAGATGGCTAGGAGATGGATCGGCAGAAATGAACCAATTGCTTGGCCTTATAGGTCGTCAGATACGTGTATAACCACAGTGGAGTTTTGTCTACCAGGTTAAGACCAACGAACTTCCAACACCCGAAAGCCCGCATAAGGGACCCTGTGGCTACGGTAACACCAAACATGCTTCAAGCCTGGATATTTCTCGTGCCACCAAGGGAGCTCACACTTAAATGTATTGAGAAAGTTATATACGCAGAAAAAACTCCGATAGTTTCCCTTTGTATTGGTGTGACCCATTAATGTGTATAATAAATTCTTTCTGTGCATGTACTGTCTTCGCTCGCTTGGAAACCGGGATCGTGGGTTCGAATCCAACTCAGGGCATGGATGTTTAGTTTGTGTGTGCGTTTTTCTGTGTTTGTGTACAGGTAGAGGCCTTGCGACGAGCTGATCACGCGCCCAAGGAGTCCTACCGAATATGTAAGATCGAGAGAAACCGAAGTGAACGGAGAAGTTCATGGAGGCAGGCCTAGGCCCAATGGGGCTGTAGTGCCAAGGGGGAAAAAAATTCTTTCTGAGAAATAATGATTTTATTTTGGATACCTTTCATCCGGACACTCTATACACTTACGTATATAGCTAGGAGAGTCAGGAAATAGGTCACAAATGTAAATTAAAACAGCCGTAGTGGACTCATTAATTTTTGTTATGTGCATTACTAGGTAGTAGCACAGTCCAACTTCATGACAGTGTAGGTAGCAGACGCACATGCATATGTTCAGATGCTGGTTTTAGTAGTCAAAATGGCTGCTGTGCTTGAGGAGTGTACTTCCGAAGAGCAAAGTTCTGTTGTGCGCTTTTTGTGGGCAAAAAGACTTAATACAAAGGATACATATAAATAAATCTTGTTTGTTTATGGTTGGACGTATTTTTCGCTTAAAGTGGTCGAGAAACTTTCTCCAGGACGTCCGAAAACCGACGACGATGCCAAAACAGATGCGGAAGTGGCTGATACAACAGTCAAAGGACTTCTGCGCTGCGGGTTTCGACGCGCTGATAAAGCGATGGGACAAGAGTATCAGTGTTGGTGGAGGGTATGTCGAGAAATAAATGTTTTTCCCAGTTTCGAAAATCACATGTTTTACATCCATTTATGACCCATTTACTCTCTCTCCCCCGTATATATAAGCGTCCTTTGGCATTGCTTTATGTTAAGTTATCAAGAAGCCCAGCACTGAAAGCGTCAAGACGGCCGTTATAAACCTTGTTTTTTTGTCTGTCACCATTTCCTTAATTTTAGTACTTTTCTTCTTTTGTCTTTTATTCTTTTATCTCGCTTACTACTTTAATTTCGTTTTCCCATTATTTCATCTCCTCTTTTTCTTCTCTTTCTTTCTTTTTATTATTCTTTCTTCGTTTCTCAGTTCCTTTGTTTCATGCTATTATTTTCATACGCTTTCCAGAGAATCGACAAGTGCTTCTCCCTTATTCGTCCCAGCAACGCTCCGCAGATGTAGTCATTCTGCCCCTCTTGATGCCCACATCCCTCGCCATTGAACGTTCATACGCGTATTTTACAGGCCTGGTTCGCACGAGGTTCTCGCAGTTTTCGCGACACTCTGTATATATATGTTAAGAGTAGTGCCACATGTTGACCGCGTGATCAACGCAGTAGCGCCATCTTTTTTTTTTTTTACAAAGCAGATATAAACCCCAGGCAAAGTCCTACATTGAAATGTAATAATAAGAATAAAATCACATTATTTATTATCATTCATTTTCTTTGCTTTTTTTTTTTTACAGCCTGGTCGTGTGGCAACGTTGGTTGAAGATAAAGAAGTAAGTATGTTCATGGTTAGTTTAATTTAACTTTTCAAAATACATGGTGTTCATTATTTTTTATTACTGAGAATAATTCCTATAATTGCCGATCATAGTGGCCGCCCAGTCTAAGGCAAACACTGGAATCGTGGGTTCGAAAACCAATCGAGGCATGGATGTCTGTGTGCTTTTATTCTGTGTTCGTGTTTTACTGTGTGTAGGTAGCGGCCATGCCACGGGCTGAACCCCCGTCCACTGAGTTTTATCGACTGTGTAAAGGCTCAAGAAACTGAAAAAAAAAAAAAGCAACGGCCAAGGACCAACAAAGGCTGTAGAGCCATTGATAGATGCCTTTAATTCTTAAAATGTAGGGCCGTATTTATGGACAAAACGTTTTGTGTACTCCTCATATCTCTTGAAGCTTGAATGGTTCACAAACACATACGCGCACTTCACGGGGTCAGAAGATCACAAGGTATTTAAAACAAAATTTTGGATCTTTGAAACGTATATTTGCTTTCTTGCATCATACAAACTGCTTTGCGGTTTTAGAACGGAATTTCTCGTCAATTAAAAACGTTGGAAATAATATGCTTAAAACTCACAGGAATTGAAAAGTGGGCTTATATCTTCTCGGGGTATTCCCAGTGATTAAATACAATCGTATGAAATTTCTCAAAAGTGGCGCTCTCTACACCCAACAAGTTACTGAAATAGTTCTCTGTTGTGGGATATAACATCACGTAGTCCATTGAAAGTCAGCCTACATTTTATAGGAACATGTCGCCTCCATCTTCAGGGTTGATGAAGTAGCAAGGCAAGAAACCAGGATGAATCAGGCAGCAATATTCGCAGGCCTGGGGAACCATGCCCCCCCCCACCCGAATTTCGGTCTTCTTCCTTAGAACACAATATTTTTCCCTTGAGGTACGCACTAAGTTGTTGAATATTATATAGAATAAATTCATACTTAATAAAGGTAATACATGACGAAATTTCTGTACGATTATGGAATATGTAAATTTCGTCGTGCTGGTGTATATTGGCGGATACAATTCTCGTCCCTACTGGCAACTGTGGTAGTCAGTAAACGAAAAATGTGAAGTAGGTCACCTTGTGTTGGATGCATGTGCTTGTTCAGTGAGTATCTATCCTCGAGGTTATCTTGCACAATTTTTTGCGAAAAGAAGTGTGAAATATTTCGATCTATCTAGAGCGATGCAACGCGCTTCGTGATTCCCCTTAGTCTGTGCAGGCCAGGCTGTGTAAGAAGTGACGTGTAATTGGGACGACTTGACAGGAATGGAATGCTGCCTTTAGAAAAGTTACACGCTATCAAAGCAAGGGATAAAGACGGGAAAACTTTAATCACTTTCGATCGTTAATGAAAGATGACATAATCTCTGACGTGTACCCCAATCTGTAAAACAAAGTGTACTGAGTTCATGTTAAAAATGTAAACCTATCCCTGTAACAGGCCGTGGAAGCCCATAGGGTTGTGAGACGTCGAGGCTCCCATATCTTTTAGACAGTCGGCTCACGGATGGCGGTGAGATTGTCAGCCTTAAGCGCTGGCCGCGCTTTACTCCCAGGAAGATTCCTGGTACTCATTTCTGTTAGAAGCTTACTCGACCCCAGGGCCATATTGCGGCTGGAAGGATTAGGTCAGTTGCAAAATCCATACCAATGAATTATATTGTGCCAAATGACCACTTGTGGCTGTCACTATATCTCACAACGTAATGGAACGTGTATAGCTAGGCAACGGCTCCGTAAACACATTTCCTGGGTTAAGCAGTCGACAGAGGGACCCGTTGTTAGGTAAACACTGTTCCCGCGCAAAGAATTATCGTTGCAACTGATTTCGGACAAAGGCATATGCATGGCAACGACTTCTTAAAAGACAGAGGACAGTACTGAAACCCTTGAAGGCAGTGATCTCTATTCGGGTCTCCCTAAGCTCTGAAGGCAGGTCAAACCACAACCGCCCTTTCGTCAGAGAGGGCGCTTTCAAAACATACGACGGTTTTCTTCACATACTGAGTGACTAGCAGAATGTTGTTAACTGAGCTACCGGGCGATGCAAAAACGTAATGAACACGTTTAATTAGGAGGTGTTATACATTGAAAAGTTGTAATATCGATCTTAATGATATCGACCTAAAATAATAGGACTGAAATGTAACTCCTGGTATTTTTGCGATTTTTTGAAATTGTGTGTTTTTGAAATTAAATTAGATATTTAAACAATTATAACAGATAGCTACACAGGAGAATGAGAGATATGTTCTCTAAACACAGGCCGTCGCAATGAGAGAATTGAGTGGGCTAGGATGAATTGTACTCAAGTAATGAACATAAAAGGGTTTTGGGGGGTTAGAAAACTTTGAAAGTTGTTTTCATTAGTCTAAAACCTTCTCAGTGCGGTCCTCTAGCATCATGCCAAATTGGGTCGAAATAAATATACAACAAAAATAATATCCGTGGCTTTAGTCCGACCGAGCGACCGCCGCTTAGCGCCGGCGGCGAAGTTAGTGCCAACTTTAGCGGGTAGAGAGTGTCGCGTGGTCAGCTCAACGGATCCCCACGGCCGTTAATTTCGGTTTTGTAGACCGGAGCCGCTACTTTTCCAGGCTGAGTGGATCCCGCTCCAGACCCACGCTTTCGCAGAAAATCTGGTAGCACCGGGAATCGAACCTGGGACATGTGGATCTGTAGCCATGAACTCTGACCACTAGACCACAGAGGCGGGCCGAAATAATTATAACGGCGTGGAAGTGTGTGAACACAAAGAAACAAACACATTGTTCTTTATAGACATAAGATAGTAGTAGTAGTAAGTAAGTAAGTAGTAGTAGTAGTGGTGGTAGTAGTTGTAGCAGTAGTAGTAAATAATAAGTAATAGTAGTAGTAGTAGTAGTAGTAGTCTACGTGCAACTGACTTCTGAACGTGTCATGTGATTTGTGCAGCATTAATGACAATTTTCATTGCAAATTCATTGCGCTTCCTAACATGACCGGAACATGACCGGTAAATTCCAGTTCTGTCTGCGCATGGCCCTATCCTACTTTATCCTCTAGCATGCTGCGATTGCTAAACCCCAAACGCATGACTGTGATTCCGTTATTGTCACCGCGATTACGTCACGACAATCACCCGAGCGGGCCTTGCGCGACCTCTATGTAAGTGACCGGCCATTGTGCTACCCTTCACGTGTTGTTAATCTGTTCCACTCTCCTCTTTGAAACTGGCGTGATCCTTTACCACAAGGGCAAGTCCTGAACGTTGTTGAACCCTCTGGAACACGAACAGTGGGAACGAAAATTGCGGGAGGTAGAACACACCGACGGCATGGAAGCAATTCAGGAACTGAGCAGTGGCCATTAACCTGGGTGTGAAAGGCACGAATTTGTTTATTGATGCAAGATGTTAACGGCCGCGCAAGTTTTATTTCTTTTCATTAATTACGTGTTTCATAATTTTGTTTAATATCTCAACCCTCTGAAACATGACTGACTGCCCAATTGCTGCTGGTCCTCGCCAGCACAGCGATTCTTGGTTCTGAGTTCCATGGGACTCGTAACTGCATTTTACTGACTGAAGGTTGTGGGAGCCTACAGAGTCAGAGTTAGGGTCACTTTACGACTGGCGGTTTACAGTCAATCAGTTCATCTTGGCAACAAGCCCCTTGAGACTAATGACCATCATTTTTTTTCCAACTGAATACTTGCTTTCGTAGTCCTTATGTAACATCCTATCTGAAAAGAGGATGGGTTTATAGTTTACAATTGCCGTTGGCCCTCGCCAGCGCAGTCATTCTCACGTCAGACTCTCGCGGGTGTCGTGACCACATTTTACTGCCTCAAATTTGAGACTCCCCCAACCTGGAGGGCCAGGTCCCCGTATTTACGTGTATATCCCCAAAGAAAAGGGTGGCCCAATTATACCCCCAGGCACAGGGTTCCCTGTCCTTGACTCCTACACCTCGCAGGGCTACGGTGGAGGAATTCGATCCCGCCGCCACACGGTACAATGACTGCTTCTGAATAGTATTTAAATATTCAGTTCGTACCTCACAGGAAACATATGTACCCGTTAAAAATGTCGGTCGGTTAAAGCTATTGAGGAAATAACGGCTCTTTATCTTGAGAATCATATGAAACAAGGAAGTACAATTTATTGACAGAACGCAGAGATTATGAAAGTTAAATCAAGGTGGTTCGTACGGTTTTGTCTTTTGTGGAGTGAAAGGTCACGTTTATACGAGCGTATTGAATTTTTAAAGTAAATAATTTATGATAATTGTTACAATTCTTTTATTTGTCTCAGATTGCAAAGGAACTAAGGCCAAAGTGTAACAGTGGCGACTTAAATGTCTAATTTTTAGATAATGAGATTACGGGCTGTGTATAGATTTGCAGATTTAGAGGGCTGTGGAAGAAATTCCGTTATGTTTAGCTTGCAGCCAACGCATACTCAGAATTGTTTACGCATCTGTGCCAAAACCATGCCGCTTATAAAAAGCAGAATTCTCTCTCTCTTTGGGATGAACGACCAATGAATGTTTCCCGAATGCGTAAATTAAGACATAATCACCTCTCCTTCGTTTATCACATCTGAAGCTGTTAGTTCAGGTTAACATTGTCATACCTTCAGTGTTCTGTATTACAGCGGTTTATCCTGTGCTTTTCTTTATTATTTTCATCATCATATGGCCATTATCACCATTATCATTATTGTTAATATTATTATGTGCCATGCCATAGCTCAGGCGGTTAGTCACCGGCTTCCTTACCTCGGGGACCCGATTCGAGCTCATGTCAGTCATGGAGGATTTGAACAAAATGGCACTGAGACAGGTTTTCTCCAAGTATTTCGCTTTCCCTTGCCAACTCTCATTTCACTGACTGCTCCACACTCATCATCTAACATCCGGGGCTGGTACAATAGGCCAATTAGTGACCGACGTACAAAGTGGACTCAGTCTCAGCCCACCACAGGAACTAAAGTAAGAATT